AAAAAAAAAAAAAAAAAAAAAAAATAGATTGAAAATTGATTGCACTAGACTCAATTGGAAATGAATCGTGAAATTATAAGGCCTTCCAACTGGGTTTTTCTCATAACTATTATGGAAACTTCAACATGGCAGTTTTTCTGCATAAATGCAAGCTCAAATTTGCACATAAAAGCAAGTCCTCATGCAATTCTATTCTGTACTTGGTTGTCGAGATGTTTTCAATTTTAACATTTTGCAAATACCTTCAGCTCGTGGGACTATCTGTTTATCATCACATGAGAAGTTCCCTAATAAGCAATTTTGAGGAGATTTTTTCTCCTCATCGATTTTAATTTGAACTCTTTCCCAAGGTCAGAACTCTCGTTTTAAAACTTGACATCGTTCTAGAATAAAACAAGTCCATCTGCTCTGTCTAAGAGCAACTTGTTCACTAATAACTGGGCATTTTTGTGAAGCATTACTTGGTAAAGAATGATAGCATTGATTCGTCAAAGTATAACAGCTGAAAATTACTGGAAGCTGTTGCCAGCCGCTTTCCGTGCGTGCGAACGGGTACATGACGGTCATGACGTGGCTCGCTCATTTCACATACTGAGGAAGGGCTAAGCCCGAAACATTTAGCAAAGGCTATCATTTGACACTTTCAAGAGCCTTTTCAGCCTCATATTTACTGAGTTTATCGTCATAGCGTAACACGTCATATGCGCTTTTTTTGTTCATTTCTCCTTATGGTAAATGAGCTTCCCTAGCCTCGTTCCGAAGAAGAAGGCAGCCGGCATCGTAGACGAATATCGAAACGGCGAAGTCTGGGCACGGGCGAGTCGAGTATCCCGATCGTGCTCGTGCATCATAACGTGCATCAATCTCTCTTAGTTTCGCCGATGTGAGCTAACCCACATTCACAGGGAATTCTGCAAACTAGGCCATCTTACTTAGTCATGTTAACGGTGCTCTTCGTTCGCACCAAGACTGAGAAGTGTGGTATCGTACTTGAAAACAGTGTGAATACCTTGCTGCTGTCGGCGACAGGTGAGGTAGCTCTAATATTTTCCTAGGCGAAAGGCAGCACTGTGGTTGATTTGAACTCTGTTACGAGTGTTTTCTTCTGGTCTTAGTGATCTTCTGAACTTCTATGAATTTGAACGACATTTCATGACTTGTGAAATTCAAGTCTGCATGTTGATTGCCTTAGAGGTGGCAGCTCGTAGCTAAAAGGTAATTTTAATAGTTGAGCTACTTTGCTCTTAACAATTCCATTCATCGCTGCAAAAAATTCTGCATGAGGGATATTCGGTATTAAGAGTCCTGATATGAAATCAAACTGGTGTGAAGCAACTAATCTCGTTGCGTGCAAAACGAAACTGGACCGTATGTGCATTTGACAGGTACGTCACTCGCTGAAGTAACCGGCTGAAAACAATAGTTGGGCATTTTTCAGCTCATTTTCCTAGTTATTTTATGGTGTGTTGCTCTTATTTAGGAAGGCCCCTATTCCGTTGACTTTCAGGTTCAGTTACATCGTCATTATATTCTTCGAAAATAATAAGAAAATAGATACTTTCCAATACATTATTGACTTCTTATAACGTTATCTTCCTGGTGACTTTCTTGTCAATATCTGCTGCGCTCTTGCCAAGGAAGGTGAAACTCTCTGCTCCTAAATTTGCATTTTAACTACGCTTCCAATTTTGCGGGGTTTTTCCGAATTGCCAAAAATGCGCTGTTTATACTATTAATTTTGAGAACAATTTAACCTAAATGACTACATTCTTTCCTATATAGGACTGGCAATATTAGGTATTTTCGAATTTTCGAGCGGGGTTACGATAGAAAATCCTTGTTGGGTGTGCCAGGGCAGCAAGGATAGCAAAGCAAGAAGATAGAAGATACCATCCAGACATTTGTTTTATGCGGAACGGTTTCAAAATTTGAATTTCTTTTCACCATTATATTATTTGTTAAGCCTCCTGCTTTGTTAGCGACGAATCGGACTTTCTTTTGAAAGGGAAAAACATATTGAATAATTAATCAGGTTTTAAAACGTCAAACGTGATAGTTAAACCGAGAGAAAAGCGACAATTAGGTTAAAAGAAACTGAACATTTGGCATATTCATTATTTTATGGCAGGTAATCGATCACGATTCTGAAAACGGAGATGAGAAATGCCAAGAAAAAGTAGCACACATGATCGTCTGGAGTTGAGGCATATTTCCGTGATTAGGACACGCAACTCGACTCATATTTTTGCAAATTTATCTTGTGAGAATGAAGCGGCTTAGTCAAGGAAACTTCAATACAAACTCAGGTATAGCAGAAGGTTTGTACGTGAAAGAAACTTCAACTCTCCCTAGTTTTTGCTGGGTAAGCGTCCGGGATTAGGGTACCGTACATTTGCCAGTGTTACAAAACACAAAATTGTAATTAATGCTACCGACAGTTTCTGTAAGTGACGTTAGTGGCAGTTGTGTAATTATTAGTTTTACAAGATATTTGAAGTCAGTGTCCGTGGGGAATAAGATAAAAAAAAAAAATGAAAATGAAATTGCATGCTTCGAAACAAGATGTCTTACGTCCTGTCTCGTACGGAAACATGAGGTGATTTATGAGTCATCTTAGGTTTACTTTACAGTTTGCTGCAATTCAGTAATTACACTGCTGATAATAGAAAACAATCTCGTGCCCTTCATTTCGATTCAATTTGTCGCGGAAGAATATTACTGTGGGTGTAAGGATAGCTTATCGTGGTCAAGGTTAGCCGCCTTTTCTTGTAGATTGCGAAAGCTCTCTCTTGCATGGTCGCTATTTAATTTGAGCAATTCTCTGGTCAGCTAAATAAGAACACATCTTCACTTTTAGAGTACTTTGATTCTCAACGCACTCTGGGAAATCAAAATTCTACATGGCTTTAAAAGACTCCGCTAAAATGCGGTAAAAGTTGCTTTTAAATGTCGCTTCGCTTCATAACACTTGTTCTTTTAACGCTGATTGCTTGAGTTTTAACATTTCGTTTGCATAAAACGGTGCAATTTAATGATTATGAACAAAGCCCAAGCGACGTTCGCATGTGTGCTGCTTATTATATTTGAACAACGAAATTAAATTTTTGTCTGCAAAAGCACCTTAGTTTGTCGGCTATTCTTGATATGTCTTGATATATACTCCAATTTTGAGGAAACATTTTTTTATCGTTTTTAGAAGCCATGCTGTCCTGAACAAGTGAAAACTATTCTTTTACAGCCTTGCAGCCTCACCTTGCAGTTTCTCTCTGCTTCGCATTTTCGGTGGCTTCGACTTTCTTTGAACTTAATTCATCTGTACAAATAAGTATGTCACAAGCGCAATAAATAAATAAATATATAAATATGCACCTTGGATTCGCAACTAGAATGGTTAAATGAAATATATCCGACAAAGAAAAGACGATCGCATATCAAATGTTATCCACAGTGTACTTGAAGTAACCAACTAAAAAAAGCATGAATATTCTAGATTTATAAGCGCTCCAATTTGTTTGATAGTAAAACAACTTTCGATTTCTTATTTCAATTTTGTGAGATGTAATTGAAATTTTAACAGGTCGTTGAATTATTCAGACAGGTCTCGCGTTAAGATTACGTCTCGAACACCATTCGATGGCTCCCTCTGGAAAGAGTGTCGCCCAAACAGTTCAAAGGTTTTTTTTTTTTCAGGTCAAAAAATATAAAAGAAATTGTCAAAACAAGGTTAGAAATGCTTGAGACAACAAAACGAATGTGAATGTTGTAGTTCAACTGAAGCGCTCTTTAGTTTAATACGACTCCAACTTTTTCATTCAAACAAAAGTCGGCCTCGCCGCTCAATTTATCATGCAAAGTTTAGCAAATATGCGATAAAATTTTCATATAAACAAAAAGATAACCCCACAGATCAATTTATCATGCCAAATTTAGTAAATATGCGAAGTTTCATAAGAATCCGTTGCAAACTTTTGGAAATATAAGACCCCAAACATTACAAAGAAATGTATGCCAGGGGGAAAGCGCTTGGCCCCTGGCTTATGAGAAAAGTTTAAGACAAATTGTTGATGTATTGCGTGAAATCATCGCAGTGCTTCATTGACGGTCCTAAAATGCCCACAGATATGAATAGCACATATTTTTTTAAACTCATGAATCAATAATCCAAAATCACAAAATTCAGAAATGGGTCTCAGATTGAAGTCGTCGATGTTTACCTCGTCTTGTGAAATTGGAAATGCTCCAGGCTAGAGAAATACTACCGAATCCTTTACAGTTGGAGAAGGCAACTTGCACGCAAAAACAGCGGTAACTGCACCATGCGCCACTAATATAAATACTGGATGATGACGAAACAATTTATGTTGAGTTTCCGACGTCCACATTTCAAATTCCAATACTAAAAAATAACTAGAAGGACTGGCACAAAAAAATTAACAATTATTGGACGAGATTGAGCAAAATATAACGATTTGTCAGTGGCGAGCAGATATTTGCGATAACCAAGTTCAATAACTATTCTATCATTCAATCACCAAGTGTGTTTTCATGTTTAAATCACTCTCTGACAGCTCAGGGAAGAAACTGATTTACCATTTCTCACACTGCACCAGAGCGTGGTTGCAATTACGCATGAGCAGAGTATTACTTGCAGCTATACACATTTAGATGGTTTTACGCATGAGCAGACCATTATTTGTAGGCAGTTATTCGCAGGTCACGTGGCGGGCTCTCGGCCAATGAACAGCAGGAAAAGGAAGAAAAAGTACTTCGAATGGCAATTAGAAATATTTTTCAAAATTTACCTGATATCTTTTCTCAACTCTAGTACAAATACCCCTGTTGGAATGCCGAAAATGGTAAAGAAATAGTAATAGAATAGCTATGTGCACAACTCACTAAGTCAAGTTTTATTTTGTTATTTGTTTCTATTTCAGTTAAATTCATGAATAAGTAAATATTTAAAAAAATGGGAAGAAACAAAGGCGTCGAATTCCTGCGCATGTGCTGGCGATTTGACGTCACCACACCCACTGGCCGTCGTATACAGTCACTGAAGATCATCGGAGTAGCGATGATAGCTGTGCTTGGGCTTCTTATCTTCGTTCTGGAGGATGTACTTCAGGCGAAACAAAACATCAAAACAGCAAACAACGTGGAGAAAAACCTTGAATTAAATATTCACGCGGCAAATTTAATTCATCACTTGCAAATCGAGCGAGGCGTTACGGTGCTGTGTTTGGGTTCCAAAGGAAAGGAAGACCAAGAAAGTGTTTATGAAAAATTAAAAAATGCTCGTCTTAAAACAAACGAAGTTCTAAAGCTGGATCAAAAGGAATGGCCATTTGAAGAAACAGAAACAGAACACGAATTTCTTCGAAGTCCAAAACATTTCCTGAATCATTTGGAAACGCACAGATCAAAGGTTGGAGAACGATGTGAAAACGCCAGTAAGGAAGAGGAGCAAATTGAGTTTTATACCCATCCTATTGATTTGATTCTGGATTGGCTCTTTGATTCGATTAAAAGCCAATCAGAACACATTTATGTAGACTTAGTTGGGTACTACATGTTCCTCGCTGGTAAAGATAAAATTGGAATAGAGCGAGCGCTGGGAGGGTCTTTCTTCGCAAAAGGACATTTTAACAGTACGAACCACCTAGTGTGGTTCGGTAATCAGAGCGCTCTGGGAAAAGAGTTCTTAGAGTCAAGTGGGAAACTAATGCCTGTTATCAAGGAAAGTTTAAAGGAAGAACTTAACACAACGGTGCAGCAAACGATCGAGAAAAAGCGAGAAGTAATTTTCACAAACAAACCTGGCGAGCCATCGGTAACAAACGGAGAGAAATGGTTTGACATCATGACTATATACCTAAACAGCCTAAAATGTGTACAAGAAAATGCAGGAAAATTCCTTCGAGTTCAGCTGGAAAACCAAAAGGATATGAACAAATCAGATTTAGCCAAAAGGCTGGCATTTCTTATGTTCACTCTCCTTTTGGTGCCCTTCCTTGTTATTTCCGTGTATCGCATGACGGGTTCCATACAAAAGTACGCCTTCAAGCTTGGTCAGACGACTTTAGAATTGCAAGAAGAGAAAAGGCGAGCCGATACCCTGCTTTACCAAATGTTCCCTCATTCAGTTGCCGAGATGCTGAAGAGAAAGCAGCAGGTTCCAGCCGAGCATTTCAGAAGTGTCACGATTTTTTTCAGCGACATCGTAAACTTCACAGAGATGTGTAGTGTGATGACGCCTCTACAGGTGAGGACGAGTATCTTAATATTTTTCTGCATGAACAAATATGTGCAAGTCTAAGTACTCAGGTCAGGTGGAACCCGTAAAATAACTTAAGGTCATTTCGCTGAAATAGAACCTGCGCTGAGATTTTTGTGAAACTTTGCCTATCGATTGTTTACATTATAGGAACTTAAATTTTGAAATAAAAATGAGGGGTCCCCATGTTCGTTTAGTCATGTCCAAATTATGTTTCCTCTAAAGGATGCAGGGTATTTGAAGACAGTTTTTCTGGGACGTAGATGAATGAACAATCAAGGAAGGTAAAACTCTGTGTGGTATAACACGCTGCATTGAAAATTAATCGAGCTTATTTGTTGCGCGCGGAGATTACCAAAAGTCACCTAAATAACCGTATTTTTCAGCATTGTGGCGTGGAAACAAGCACGGTGACCCCCTCTTTTTATTACGTTTTTAATATCTTCTTGTCCTGTAACAACAGCATACCAACTTTCATCGGAAATCTATGGCGGATTGCCTTACTAGGGAATCATTTTAAATGTTCTTTAAATGTCATTAACTGGAATCAGAATCGAAAGCTTTAATGTTGGGTTTTAAAAAAACCAACCGTGCCCTGCATAAGATGGCTGCGCCCACAGTACGAGCGGCACTCAAAACTGAGCTGTCCCGCCGAAACGACACTTTGGAATTCTAAATGATTTTACGTGAATATTCATTGCCGTCTCCCGTAAGGAAAGTTGCCTTTCTTGTTAAAATACATTTGACGTCAGGACAGTACAGTTTTTCCCGCCTGTTGAATCCTGATTGGTCAATTCATAGGGACCTGTCATTACCTGGTCAATTACTGTTCACTAAACATCACAGTTACTTTGCTTTTGTCCAGGTGACAGCAATGTTGGACGCGGTGTATGGCGAGTTTGATGAACGAATCAATCGATATGACGTATACAAAGTAGAGACAATTGGTGATGCATACATGGTAGCATCCGGGCTTCCCGAGAGAAATGGTATTCGGCACGCTGATCAGATAGCTCGCATGGCGCTTGACTTGCTCACAGCGGTTGATGGAATGAAACTGCCCCAGTTCCACACAGGACGGTTGTCAGTCCGAATTGGTATAAATACCGGTTAGTGATGCTGGAATAGGTTATATAAATCATTTGTGTTTTACTTTTTGCCAGCTGCGAAGCTTTAAAGAGGGTCTGGATGGGGTTAACTGACAACTGACAAATAGACAAAATTTTAACGTACTGATAACTGACATTTGCACTCCCTCCCATCCAGACCCTCTTTACACAAATAAATTCTTGTCCATTTGTCTTGCTCTGCCGTTTAGGGCCACAATTACTTCGGCTTTCTCGATAACTCAATCTTCTGTAATGATCTTCCAGTATTGAAACTACAATTTGATGTTAAAGTATTCAGTCTGAATGTAAGTGGTCCAATTATTTTACAACAATAACTTTTCTCACAGTAAGTTTCATACAGACAATCCTGTTACTAAATGTTTTAATATTTCACTCCGACCTTGAGATGCATAATTCAGGATGTGTGTCTCACTTTTTTTCAGCAAAGGTATGGAATCAGTAAAATAAGACAGAAATACTTCGGGAAGAAGAAAATAATTATCTTCTGAGTGGGATTTATTCGATTTGTTTCAAATAACGATGCTAATATTCAAGAACATTTTGTTACGACTGTTACTGAATTTTAATGATTCAAATGTTTTCAAGATAGTCGTTCAATGTTCCAAACTCCAGTCACGTGATTAATCCATGTAATGGATTTTATAAGAACTTTGAATCCATTCACTTGCTTTACATCTACTTTTATCCCCTACAAGTACAGATG